GCTTGTGCTTGATGTTATCGAGAAACTGGAGGAGGTGGATGTGATGGTTGCTGTTGCGGATGTGCTCGTGCTTGTTGCCGTGCTGGAGGATGTGATGGACGTTGTGTTTGTGCTTGTTCTGCTTATGCTTGATGGTGTGGAGGAATGTAGTGTTGTGGTGAGTTCATGCACGTCGAATTAAACTGCTCAAAAAAACTCAAATCGCACTGCTTGAGGATCATGCAAAAACCCTTTGCAAAACTGGTCAGTAAGTCAGTGAAAGAAGAAGAAGAAGCTGCCGTGTTTGGGCCCGGCGGCCAATGCATCAGTTGATTCTATGGATGTGTCAATGACTTCCAGTGGAAATCCGGTGAAAGGTGGCATGTTGTGGTGGGTGATTTCCGATGCAAAACGGCGCCCCAGTGACGGGGATCACACTCAGCACCCGAGTGGGACGGCTGAGCGAAACACACTTCGACACTTGTATTCAGTTAACTCAATTTTCCGAGGAAAGGAATGGCTCAACGGCAAGGTGAGGAGTCCGATCAATTGAAGGTGTTTCAACAAATAGTTTGTGCGCATCTGCAGACTCGCGACAGCAGCGGACGAGCGGCGGACGGCAGCTGAAACCGAGGGAAAAGGGTTTAGGGGAAGTAGCATGAACCACCATGGAAACAAACAAAGAAAGAGTGGAGTGACAGCTTGTACAACAGTTCGGCAGGTACGTTTGCAGCCCCCCCCAGTGGCCTCTTCGTTGGCCATCCGCCACTGGGGAGGGGGATGGCCCCCTGCTGTGAAAAAGGTAGAAGTTGGCAGTGAACCCTTTGGCACAGGGGTTGACACACACACACACACCAAAAAAAAGGAATGCATGTATCGGCCAACTCGAAAAAGTCACATGTAGCCTCTTGATGATGAACCCCCGCATGTAAAGAGGTTATTGAATTCAAACGGGCAGGTGTATGAATCAAGACTTCCACTATACTTCAACTCATTAGCTGCGTCGTTGTGCACCTTTTTCGACCGTCTACATGTCCCCCACCCCTTGGCTTGGGTCCACGTTGGCTGCCTTGTTGCCAGCCACCACCAGCCACCCCTGCTCCGACCCGGGGTCGCCCCGGCCAGCACGCTAAAGCTCATCCCCTGGGACGTCACGGCGAAGGTGGTGCCCTGCGGCGGATGGGGTAGAAAGGCAAGGCGAAGCTGAAGGAGTTCATGCAGGTTGGGCCCTGAATTCAGCGGCGGAAAGGAGCAGGCCAGGTGGGGCCATGAATCACCCATTCTATTCGGACGGTTGATCCATCCTATGGGGTGGTTGATTCATCCACAGTGAGACACAAGTCACAAGGCTGAATCTCCGATTTGGTCGGGGGGGGCCTAAAAGGCATCCTGAGGCGTGGACCAAAAAGGACACATAAGATCTCAAGAAACGTCATCCGTGCAAGTAAGTAGTTATACAAACAAACCCAACCGTCCCGGAAGCTTTCATCCACTGCAGGCGCGAAGGAAAAGCGGCGGAAAAAACGGTGGATTCTGAAAACGAATCCAAGGTTTGGTTTAGGACACCTGCATCCCCACCGCGGTGGGTCCCCCATCGGGCCGTGGGGTGTTTCTTTCGGGCCGTGGACTGCGCGTCCAGTCCAGTCCTGCGCTCGGGCGTGGTGACCAGCTAGGAAGATTTGCAAAAAAACATGCAAAAAAGATCCTGCATCCACTGCCAGCCTCACTGATAGGTCACTAATTGAAACGCTGGTTGTTTGAGTCCCAAAACCATCGGATTTGGGATCCCCGAACCAGCTGTTGGAAGGTCCTGGGTGCAGGGATGCTGGGGGGATGTTGATAGATGTTGCATTTTAATATATAGTGCATAACATAACCCAGACACTCCATGGGACTGGGATATTTACATACATTCACCCGTTTTCAGCCAGCAGACCCTTTCGTCCCGCCATTTTTGAACGACTGGCCTGGGAGCCAACAAACCTATTCCACCTCCAAGCAGCCAAAGTGTCAGCTGCATTCAGCTACTGAGTGACCATTCCAAGACACATCCAATCTTGACCCGGTACACTCAATCACTTGCCACCCTCCAATGAAACCTCGCCCGTCGCCCACCATTGCTTTCAATCTCTTTACCCAACAACTGTGTGACTAAGGATTTCAGACCACCAAAACTAGGTCTGCAGGTGCCAAACACCTTCTCAACAACGCTTTCAAAAAGGCTCAAAACGGATCCCAGCTGTCGAAGCTCAAACATGCTGTCGACTCCTGGCCTGCATGTACCAGTAGAAGGATGCTAAGAGCCAAGGCATGCCAATGCCCAGGAAGACGTTCACGGAGTTACTCCCAGTCACCTGGGGTCCACGGACACGGACCTCCGGACCTTCCCACCTTCCCAGGACCTTCCGCGTGCCATCGAACCGTCTGGAGGTGGAGTCGGACGGCGGCGCGGTGGCCCCCTAGGCTTCGGCCGAAGCGACCAAACGATCCGGTCAGGAAGGCAGTGGGTCCAACAGATATGGCAGTGGGTCTCCGCCCAGGATCTCGCGTCTCTCTCAGCTTTCTCTGAGGCCGCCTGAAACCAAGGAAAAAAGGTCTAGTAAGGGTATGTTGACAGATGTTGACCAAATCACATCCCACACGCGCGCTCAGCATCTGATCCCCTGGGTCAGTCTGATATCTCGACCAGAGTGGGTTGAGTGGGTCATACAAAAGCACCATTCAATGAGGTCAGACTGGACCTGGTTTTGCTTGGCCAGACTGCACCTTGTGGGTATATATATATATATATATCAAGAATTTCAAAGAGCTTCTTCCAATCCCACCACCTCCAAGACTTCGCACCTCTTCTACCCCCAAAACCCCAACGCCCCCACCACACGCCGATGGGGCACGTTGACGATGGACGCATCCGCGGTGGGGTCCTGCCGCGCCGCCGTCATCGAGGCAAAGAGGTCCTGCCGGAAAGCGGTCGGAATCGACTCGTCCCACACCCCTAAGAATCCGAACAGACCTTCTCCACCCGTTTCGGCAGAGGGGTCGGACCTTCTCCACCCGTTTCGGCAGGGATCCGAAGTTGTGTTGCTTCGGGGCCCGGAATTCTCAGGGCACCCAAATCTGACTGTGCGAAAATTCCCTACGCACTCGCGCGGATGAGTCTGAAATGGGTATGTAGCTCGAATAGGGCGACCCCTAGGTCGGAGACCCCCCGGTAGCGTCAGACCAGACCACAACCCATTGAGGCTTTTGGGGGCGAGACGCTCTTCACACCCAATCAAAGAGTCGAATCCTCATTGGAAGAGTAGGCAAAGGGGTCATGTGGATGGATTCCTCGTCATTTCCAGTAGACTTCAAACACTTCAAACACGCAACTGGCACTGGCATTTCGATGCCAGTCCCCCGCGCTTCGCGCACGCTTTTGGCAGGCAAAGAGGTCAGTCCCACATGGAGGTGTTGAACGAGATGGTATGGATCAGATACTGGAACAACATGGAACAACCAAGGATCGACTGCAACTACACTTGTGATGGTTGCTCTGCCATGAATAAGAATTCCAAAAGCTTCCCGGTAACATCAATAATTTGAGATCCCAATGGCGGTCCGGTCACGGGTTTAGGTCTTGAAATGGTCACGACCACAAATCCTGAGGTTCAGTCTATAGTTGTTGGGGGAGCATCCAAGTTGTTTCTGCTTTAAAAATTCGGGGGTTCCGGGCAAGAATCCTCGCTGTGAATATGCCCTGAGAAGCCAAAGCCTGAAGCACAGAGAGTAGACAAAGCTTTGCGATCTATATAATGGTATGGAGAGCTTCGGTGGATGCGTATACAGGTTTCAGTTTCTATTGGTCTGTACGGAAACATGGGTGTGGATCAACCCGTTTGGTACGGACACCACGGGACCGATGGACTGGCCACCAGTTTCCTGGCCAGAGACTCACGTTTTTGGAAACTCTGAACCCGAAACTTTGGTACCCCAAAGAAACCTCTTACCAAAAGGATCCAAGTGTTCGAAAGACTACCCTTCTGCCAGCAGTCACAGAGGTCGGGGTGCGATCCATGGAGGTAGTCGGGGTGCCCAGAACATCCACTCACTGGATGGGACTAAACACCACCCCTTTGTGACTCCTGGTGACTACCTTTAGAGTTTCGAAACTTGTTTGGACACGTTTGCACCGTACCCAAAGAAACCTCTCTTAACTACCCTTCTTGCCACAAGAAGGCTCCTATACTTCCCTTCTTCACTCCTCATGTCCACCATTTGGTGTCACCTGAAAAATATGAGCCAGTGGGTTCAATCATCCCGAGTAAAGCTTGAATTCCTTCAAATCTCTGAAACAAAAACACCTAGACCCTCTCCGCTTCACCCATCCCCTCCAACCGGGTCCGCCCTAACAAGAACCTCCACGCCCCCCTCTCCGCGTGAAGCGAAACACCGGTGCAACGCCGGTGCGAAGGCGAATCCAGAACGGTCCGGCACAGAGGTACCCAGGGCCACGAAGGAGATGGCAGTGATGTTGTCATCCACATTGGCCACCTCAACGACGCCCGTCCGCGGACGCAAATCCGCGGACGGCGACACGACGTCCTGCGTCCTGGACCTGCTGACCTGATCATTGATGTCTGCCAGGTTGATCCATTTTGCTGGGTTTTATGAATAAAATGGTCGAACTTTGGAGCAGCTGGAAGATCTACTCAGCAGCTCAAGGAGGCAACCTGAAGGTATCCTCGTACTTATGTTTATTTTTAAAATATGGTCATGTCCCATTCTCTAGGGTACTTGAAGTCGGGTCCAGGTACACATTGTGGCAGTGTATAACTACATGATATTGATTGATATTGCATGATATTGCATGTATACCTTAGAAGAATACCAGATTTTGAGTCGCCGAGTTGATCGGGAGACTTGCCCAGTCCCCTGAGACGTAGTCACTGCCCCGCCCCATCCCAGGGTGTCCGCCACGCCGTGACCATGGGACCTGGTCGACGGTCTTAGCCCAGTGGCACAACCAAAGAGCTCGGCCAGGTCGCCGATGATGATCTGGCGCCGGACGCAAGTCGAAGTCAGTGGCGGTCATTGAGGCCTCCCTACCAGCAGGGCTTCAAAAATGGGTGCAGGGCATTCCCAAATCTTGAGAAACAAACATATATGACAGGATCTTCCAACAACGCACAAGTTCTGCCTTTTCATCCTTAAAACCAGCCAAAGGGCTGACTTTTTGTTGCATCGTTGGAAGATTCAGGTAATACCCCACGGCTCCAACCATCTCAGAAGGTAGGGACAACCCCCTGGCCCACCGAACAGAAGGAATGCCACCGAGCGAGTTCATCGTGAGAGAAACTACTAAGGGCTAACAATCCTGGAAGTCGAATGGCCCGTTGGATGACGATGTTCCGAAAACCAAACAGAGGGTGTTCCACTTCCATGTGAGTGAGACTCGGAGTTGATACAAGAAGAGTCCATCATGGTGTCCTTGAAAGGGTTCCCCGCTTGGTCACGGCTACTTTCAAACTTGGGGTTTCTTGTGTCTGGTCAAGTCAATCGGGTGGCAAACCCCAACTGCTCCCCGCAAGTTCTCATGGAGAATAGTTTCTCAGAAACGATTCTTCTCCTTCCAGTGAGTGGGTTCCGGCCAGTTCGGGTCAACTGCCTACTTGAAGCAATCACTCAATTTGGACACAGATCCTTCGTTATCCCTCCAACTTAATCCACTGGCCGCTGACCGTGAGCCAGGCAATGTGCATGAGGGAGATGAAGAAGCAAACCTCAGCTTGTGCAATGGACGTTCTCTGCGTTCAATCATCAATTACCCTTGCAGCAGGGCATCAAAAATGGGTTTGGGAGGTCCCTATTTCGAGAACCAAACATATATGCCTGGATCTTCCAACCACGCACAAGTTCTGCCTTTTCATCCATCAAACCAGCCAAAGGGCTGACTTTTTGTTGCATCGTTGGAAGATTCAGGTAATACCCCACGGCTCCAACCATCTCTCACAAGGTAGGTTTTTAAAAATAGAGGCTAAAGAATAATAGTAATAAACCCTAGAAGTCCAAAGACTAATCTATTGACCGGCTGAAGTAAGGGAAGTTCACTTTCAGGTCCCCTAAAGACCATTCTTTTTAGAGTCTTTGACTCCCAAGGACATAAAAAAACAGTAAAATAACACCTGGCCCAACACTCACCGGTATCTGTAACCGATCCCTGGAACACCGACCAGAAAGACTTGGTGACGGTGGCACGGGGGTGAGACCCATGTCATGTCTGGAGCCCGAAGCGACCCTGTTTTGATCGATGGAGGCTCCACCCGAAGCGACCTGAAGTGACACTGCTTCTTTTTCGATGGAAGACGGACGAAACGAGACGGACTGTCGACGATCAGCCAGGATGAAACGACGGGAGTCGTTGACTAGAGTCATCTCAAGTCCGTTCGCTCCAAACTTTGTTCGCTCGAAGCATCTTGTGAGTTTGGTCGATCAGCCAAGAACCGCTCCCAACTTCAGTGCTTCACCTCTGTCAACGTCCGTGTTCGGCCTATCGACTGCGCAGCGTAGGCGTAGACGTTTAGTCAAGAGGCCCAGCCGCCCAGGTAGGCCGGCGGCGGGGTGAAAAGTGCGAAGATCAAGGTCCAGGGAAGCCAGATCAGGTGATTCAACCTGAGCACAGGGAATGATCAACGGAGTGATCAACGGTTGGGGTTTGGAATGATCAACGGTTTGGGTTTGATCAAAGGTTTGGAATGATCCGCAAAAAAAACGGTTTGAAGTTTGAAGCATGCAGAGGACAAAATAGAAAATCGTGCGACCGCGTGAGCATGAGGTGCTTCGAAGAGGATGTGGGGTGGGCCCAATAAGGTCTCCGGTCCGTTCGCTTCTGTTCGCTTCAGGGAAGTTGCCGGTTTTCTGGGATGAAGTCCTGCAAAGCTTCATCTGAGGAGCATCCCTTTCTGACCTCTTTGAAGTCATAAAGTGACCCAAGCAGGAGGCTGTGACCGAACCCGCCAGGGGATTGAAGTTCAGTCACGACTGGATGAAGCAGGTGGATCAACTGACGACCTTTTCCTTACTTCTGCAAAGTACAGAAAAGTGATCTCTTTGGTACAACTCTGCTATGCGTTGTCCCCGTTTCTTTGGGTCTTTGACCCCCCGAAACTGGCTACCCTGACCCCGAAGCTTGAACAGATCTCTCCCAAGAAGAAAGAAAGTCCACCTCCTATGCATCCGGTAGGATAGAATTTTGGGACCCACACAAACCATTCCCAGGCCATCAATGGGACTGGAATATATATATATATATATGCGATACCTTGACCCCCCCAAACCATTTTCGCTGCGTGTTGGTTGTCCAGTTCGGAGACCGTCTCCAGGTCCATACGTCTCCGTTCGCCCAAGGGACCAGTCCAGTGCTCCAGCTTGGTCCTAGGACGCCGCCAAGCCGGAAGCCGTGACACGGTGTCAGGTCGGAACCAACGGCACCGGTGTCAGGGAGCCCACGCAGAACACAGGTGCAGCAGGTAGAAACCCAACAACACCGTGTTGTTGGGTTTCGGTGGGATGGGATGGGTGTTTGGTTCAGGAAGAGTCCGATGGAGTCTCAAGTCTCCATGGTGAGGTATCATGGAAGACTTGAGACTTGGAGGGCTGTTTGAAGGAGGCTTCTGCAGATGTTGATCAGGTCAGGTCTGGGGAGGCTTGAGACCTTCCGCAGACTCATGTGCCAGGTATGATTGGAGGCTTGAGACCTGGAGGAGACGTCGGAGGGCTGTTTGAAGGGGGCTTCTGCAGATGGATGTGTGGAGTCTCTCCAGCGAAGACAGCCAGACCACTGATTTGGACATCTAAAGAGCTGAAGGAAGACACATCAAATCCAAAAAAAAATCAAGTTGGGGTGCGTTGACCCCTCCGGTGTTTGGATGATTCGCCATTCAAGGTGCCATCTTGTGAAGCGTTGGGAGAACCCGTTGGCAATGGTGGGATCCCTACAGAGAAAGCCGTTGGAAAGGGCCTCTTCGAGAGAAATTCTGTATGGAGGAGCATCCCAAGTTACATCTGCCCTGGCCACCATCAGCACAAATCCAAAAGGCAACACGGGACAAATGGACTGAAATCCCACTCAACGGCCCACCTAGCATTCCCCAGCCCCATCCGCCATCCACCCCGGTCCTGTTCTTCCTTGCTGCCTCCAACAAAGATCACCTCTAAGATTTGCGCTTTCCACAAGGACGTGCCCTGGCGAGGATGGATTTCCTGTCGAAATCTCTGTGAGTGCTGGAAGAGTTTTTTTCGAAAAAAACGTCTTCGAGGGTCACCACGGACCCTCCTAGCCAGGCTGTGAGACCTGAACAGGTGGTGAACCTCGTGACAAGTAACTTGTCACGAGGAAGCACCTGTGAAGTCGGTGCTGGCAGTTTCTTCACTCCTTTAAAATAGAACCTGCTGCATGGTCTCCGCAGCCACCTGCTGCGTGCTCTAGCAAGATGGGTGGATCTCCGCTTCAAGGCGTCCCTCTGGAGCCGGCGGAGTCCGTAGGAAAAGAACAACACTCTGGTGACAGGTCATCATGTGAAAAACCGCAGGTGGCGGTGATTCTTATTGCCAGAAGACGATGGACGACTAGGTGCGCTGACATCTCAACATGCTGATCAACAAGCCTGGACCACTGAGGCTGAAAATGATCCATTAAATGCCAATGACAGGGGGGGGCCGTGCTGAATGGCCCAGTTTTGGACTTCAATCTTCACAGATTGGTGACAAGGTCTTGCATCTCCTCCGAAGAACACTTCTTCATGGAGCTGATTTTTTAAGCAAGTGAAAATACTTGTCGAGCTCCTGTTATTCGGATGGGTTCAGACCTGAAGAACAGTGCCACCCAAAACAACACGACATCAATTCTAGAAGACCCAACTGCGAAAAGCCGGTTCTACGCTGTTGGCGAAGCACTCCGCACTGTTCTTGGCCAAACCTGTGTGAACCAAATTAGCTTGGGTGGACTCCAGTGGCTTGGGTGGACTCCAGTGGCTTGGGTGGACTCCAGTAGCATTACTCATCCCAACCTGAGAACAAAAACCGACCGGACGTGGGTCACCCCATCAGTGCTTCCAGTTCGAAAGACGTCGATTCCTCAAGGGCCGGGTCAACCCGTCCCACCAGGGCCCGGTCTTGGGCCCCAGCAGTTCCAAGCACGGCCAGTGGACACACCACCACCGACCACCGGACATCTGCACCGAACACCGTTGAAACGACCAAGAGAGCCATCTGAGCCATCTGCGTGCGACCTTCCCAGCGAAGTTCAGTGACCTTGAAAGAGGACCCGTTACTTGGGGTACTATACCAGGACCCTCCGCTTGAGGTGTCTAAAAGAATTGCCTCTTATATATAGAGGTTAAGAGGTGTCCAAAAACCACCGGACTTGGAGGGTGCTGGTATGGGACATTATGGGATATATATATATAATGGTCTATAAGGTGCTTCAACCTCTGGTGTTTCATCATTGAGGGACTATGACAAACGTGTGATACCAGTGCTTCTGGCAGTCCAACACAATCCCAGTTCCACCATCCGGAAGTACTTTTAGCCTCCATTCGACCCATCGAAGGTCTTGGAGGGTCCCTGAACCCCTCTGCGAACTCCCTTCCTTCCACCCGATCTTCTTCTCTCATCTGCTTCACTGCCGGTCGTCTTTTCCCGCCCGCCGCGGGCCTGTCGAAGCTCATCGAGGTTCACCACGGCGTCGATCAAGGCGGTGAAGCAACTGCCTGGAGGCGCCACCGACCCAGATGCTCCCTGGATTGTTGGGGCAGCATGTACGGAAGCCCCAAGTTACATTGGGTGTGTATTTGAATATAAGGGAGACCATGAAAAGAACCCCTGACCCCTCATTGGACCACTGGGAAAATCAAAAACAAAGGAAATCCAAGTGGTCGGGAGTTGGGAGGTCCCCCTATTGAAATACCCCTCAAATCCTCGAGGTACCTAAAGATGTACCTAGAACCAGAGTGACATCTGGAGTTGGAAGCAAAATGTACTAAAACAGGGTCTTCTCCCCTCCAAACAGAGGTCATGTCATGGGTTCCCAGGATTGCTTGCTTTCCCCACCAAGCACCAAGCACCTCGGGACCCGGCTCTCCAGCCTTGGAGTCTTTTCAGTGAGATTGTGGTGTTTTCATGGTCCACCCGCCATCCCCCAAAAACTGCAGAGGCCCATGGGGTGGCCCCCCCCTGAAGATCTCTTGGGGTCGCCCAAGACAGAGCCCTCTTTGGATTGGACGACTTGACCCTGACTGGACCCATCCTCTCTGGGTGTCCTGTCAATTGGTAGTGGGCGGGGTAGTCCAGCCAGGACACCCAGACAGGATGGCCCTGGTAAATCTGGGGTTGCTTGGTCCGTCCCAAACAATCGAGGTCAACTCAGGTTGCACACACCATCGCACACGCCATCCAATCAGTGAGCCCAAATGCGTCGAATGTGTGAGACCTATCCAGGACCTTCGAATGTATCTCCTCAACCACTCAAAAGATGCTCCAACATCATGTCCAACTTCCTATCTCGATCGCAGGGCTCATGTCTGGATTCGAGGTGGGTTTGACTCTGAAACTTGAGGCGAAACTATGTCTTCGAAAACGAACCCGACGATGATACCTGCACCTTCATTTCGGTGTGAAAAATGGAGCTCCCGGATAGTCATTCGTGTAAGTGTAGGGGCTACCAGCCAGCTAAACCCCGAAGTGAAGGTACGTTTCATCCTGTTTCATCTATGTCCCACATCCCCAACAAAAATCGGCCAAGCTCCCACCGTCTATCTATAGGTCCTTCCTGAGCCTTTATAGATTGTACTTCGTACAGCATCCGCGGACCCAGGACGACCTCCGCGGATCTCATTCTCCACCACGATCGTCAGACGTTGGCACCTCGACGTGACGATCCGTGCCGGCGGGAGGTGCCAAACGGAAACTCGGATCCGTGCCCTTCGGGGGGGGAAGTCCAATTTCGGTGGATCCCAAACAAACCACTACCAGGAGCCTCCGCGACAGAGGTGTCTTTTTGTAATAGCCTTTAGAGGTGAGTCGAGGTGTCCAAAAACCACCGGACTTGGAGGGTGCTGGTATAGGAATGGAACCAGGGATTCGTGAGGTCTATGGTTTGAGTCGAACTAGAACCACTGGGACTCCCAGTGACATCGTGGTAACATGTGGTAACTGGATGCCATGATTTGGGAGGGTCGGGACCGTCTTGGAGCTTCGAAACGGAGTTGGAGCCCATAGGGGCTGAGAAATCCATACGAGACGGGGTTTTGACTGTTCCCCTGCCTCACAAGGGGCGCCTGGTACAAGGGGCGCCTGCCTGTTTCATGAGCTGCCCCTGGTGTGCCGACTCCCAGGCCATTGCTGGAAAAATAAAGGTGTTCTTAACCGAACTGTCCACTTCTTACTTGATGTTGCTTGATGTGTAGTGGGGTGTCCCCAATTCTCCAAAAGGGTGATCCATGGCTGGGTATAGGTGTATCAGAAAGGAAATTCATCTCGCGGACATCTGAGCATCTTTTGAGGGCATCCATCAAGACTTCCACAAAACACCCAGTGCTCATGCATCCCTCGAGTCAGGCCACAGGTTACTTCGGAGCACCTGCAAGTGGTTCAGAGATGGATGCGTCTTCATCACGTCCCATGTGGAGATCCACAACCCCTTCCAAAAACAGTAAGCAAAATGTTTGTTGTTGACTCACTGTTAGCGTCATCATAGGATCCTGCCAAACATGTGTTACATGTCAAAAATGCCCTCCAGTCGATCCCTTTCAATCGCAGGTGCTCTTCGCCCCCATCAAAGTCCGGGTTGAATTCCGCACCGCCTGTGGGCTCCTGAGTGGCAAACTGGCTCTGATCTTCTCCAAACCAGGGTAGTGCAGGATCTGGTCGTTGAACCTACTAAAAATGGATATTGTAAGACATGCATTCCCCGCACATCCCATGATGTCCCGGAAATCCGGATCTCCGGGCCGCTGAGCCTCGCAACATGTCACAGGAGAACAAGAAGGAAAACCCCTTGGAAGAGACCGCTCGACCGGTGACGGTCGGCAATTGGACTGGTCGGGCTCCAGGTTGAACGACCCATGCCCACCCTCCGGGTCAAAGCCCAGTTCGATTGGGTGTTCCACCCCAAAATGGCCCGGTGAGCACCGCCCACCGCACCCCGGAACCCGGAACACCTCGTTGATCCCGTTGACATCGGCACGAGCCGAAACCACGAGCGGGTCTCCTCAAGCACCACTTGAAATCGATCACTCCTCTCCCCTCGCTTCTTCGGCAAGATGGTCAGCCTCAGATCAGCACCGCCCGGGAAAGCCACTCTTGCCTGGCCATGGTACCTTTCCAGAAAGCAAAAAATGTCCAGCAACACCCAGTTTAGGTGGTTATTGGATGAACATTACATGGTCTAGGGGATCTATTAAAATCTTGGGTGTTGCTGGCAATGAGCATCAGTTGTGCAGTTTTGTCAGGCTTACACATGCGGAAGGAACACCAGGAGAAGCAGAACGCTTCTCGTTGCGTTACACTTCATCGGTCTGAAAGGCCGCATCCCCTCCGTTGGCCGGAGGAACCCTCCGACCCATCGGCTCTCCGCGCTCGTCGAGCGAGGCGCGAGATCTCCGCCGTCTGCACCCCATCTCTGAATTGGATCTCTCCCTCATCCTCTTCGTAGTCAAAGCCTGTCACATCGAGGACGGCATAGGCTCCGGCTGCATCGGCAGGTTTGGATGCCAGTAAGTAATGGCGAGGAGGTCGCGAGGAGGTCGCGAGGTCAGGCCTGTTGAGCGTCCCCCCCAAAAAACAGCGGTGTCTCGAAACATGATACCAGTTCATGTGTGGAGTTGAGTAGCGGCTGGTGAGAAAAGACACAGGTCCTTTGTGACCAAGACATCGCCTGAAGGGCCCTGAATTTGGGATCACTGTTCAGCCTGAACGATTTCGCATGACAAATCTTCGATGCAGTCCAAGTAGTTTTTCACGGCCCGCCACAACTTGTCCTTCGCTTTTTGGCCCAATCCTCTCACCCCTGTTTTCGCCCCCTAATGTTTTGGAGCGTCTTTCGGCTTTGGTCTTCCACTCTGGCCAAATGCCTCAAGCACTCCCTCTCCCGCGTTCGGCTCGTTTCCAGTCGGGCTCGGCACCTGGGATGGCCGACAACTGTTCCAAGCGGTAGGTGCAGGTCACTTTGCCTGGCAAGCCACTCAGGCGACTCAGGGGCCGTGTGGCTTGAAAAACCTCCAAAGCCAACACCTACAGTATATACCTGGAGTCTCAGTTCGTACCTCGGAAAATGGGTACAAGTACCTGTTTTTTATGGGGGCATGTCCCATTTTCTAAGGTACTTTGGAGGGTCCAGGTATACACACGTCAATGGAATTTGCTGAATGTGCAAACTAACACATACCTGGACCCCCCCGACTTAAGGTGGTTCATGGACACCCCGAAGGTTCTCTCTTTTCGGGCCGATAAATGGACACCCGGAATCGGTGCTAACATCCCTACCCCTTAGCAGGGGGGGGGGACCTGAAAAAATGTAACTTACATTTAGCCCGTTACATTTTTCTGGCCCCCCCCCTCAAAACAATGGTTAAGGGGGTGGGGATGTGCGTTCCATCTTCAAGAATCCAACCCACCTTCGTAGCCTTCACTCCGAAGATCCGCCTTCGTTGCCGTTCTTCCGGACAATCTCCACTGGGATATTCTGCACCTCGTTCTTGGCACCTGACCATATCAACCGATGCAAATCGGAGCCACTCCCGAGCCCTGGCAGATCACGAAGTATGCGCAGATGACTGCAGATTTCACGAGGTTGGAGTCCTTCCTGGCCTGTTTTCCAGGTACCTGGAGTCTCCAAAGTACCTTAGAAAATGGGACATGACCCCATAAAAACAAGTACTTGCATGTACCCTTTTTCCGAGGTACGAACGGGTCGACTCCAGGTATGGGTGTGGTTAAATAGGTGTCAATTTCTCGGACCAGCTGCCCCTGCAGATCCTTTCTTTCGCCGTTTTGATCGATCGATCCTGGAAAGTGGAGGTTCAGCGAACTTTCCACTTAGTTATACCTGGTATTCGTGGGGTGTCCCAATTCACTGGGGGCCTCGAAACCCGGTGAGTAGACTTATCATGTGGAGGTTTTTGTGTTAAGTATGGAGCTTTTTAGAGGGGAGATCGATAGACATCCTGCTTTGAAACTTTGAAGCTTGTATATAGGTAAGTTATATTTGTGTCGTCTTGAAAAGGAACAAACCTTGCAAGCAGGGATCCACTCTATTGGAAACACCCCCAAACACCCCCGATCTCGATCGATCAGCGAGTCTCCGCCATGAGTCTCCTCAATGAGTCCCACAAAGTTCTCTCCACATGGATGGACCCTTGTAGAAGACATGGTTTGGGACTCGGACGGAGGCCCACGTTTAGATTTAGAATGTCGAGGCCAGAATGCATGAGGGGTCGTTCTGGGTCAGGACCATTCGAAACCAGTGGTCTTAAACAATTGCAGTAAGCATTGTAGAAACACCATTGAAAAACCATGCCTTACAGGGATTTACATATAGAGCCCCCTGTCGCCTCATCTTCATGTCTCCCATCAAATACCTAATGCCTGGTGTTATCCCGTTCCCAACGATAACTGTTCATCAACTGAGGGCGCGAAGGCATGGGGGTTTGCCATACTGGTGTCAGACATGGACATCTACAGTACTATGCCAAAGCGGCGAATGGTCACGGAGTGCTGGCTGAAGGTAATGATGCCGTACCTGCGAGCTGCATCGATTTCTTCGATTTCCCCCTGCAGGAGGGCCACAACGTCTGGCTTGGTCTTCGGAAAAATGGTCCGCCACCACACGGTCAATTCTTGGAGGCCTCTGATGGATGCTTCAGCACGTCAGCACGGGCCCGGGGATCAGGGACATCAGGGACGGCATCAGCGGCCATCGGCCATCGAGGACGCACTCCACTGGCTGCCTTCTCTTGTGGTTTCCGTTTCACCATGTTTCACCTGTCCGTTTCGCCTGGGCATTGTGCCCGTTTCGTCTGACCTCCCCATGGACTCCCAAGTCAGTCACCACCCCGATCCTTTGTTCGTCACGACGCCCAGGGCCCAGGCCCGTTCGGGCGTGTGGGGCGAAGTCCACCGAAGGTTCGAAGGTCGTGGGGCGTCGCAGGGGGTGTCAGTCCTCAAGGTGCACCAAATCAATCCACCTACTGTCCTGGGTACGGAGTGAACAGAATGGCCTACTGACTTGAGCAGGTCCTGAAGGAGTGTGGGTGTTCCTTAAAAGTCGACCTGCCGTCGAGTACACGATCTTCATGTATCTTCAGTCTCTTCAGGCGACCGTCCCCGACCTGGAAGATGACCAACAACGCCGTTTTTTCTGTTGTGGGTCTCAACAGAAGACTTCTCTGTGTGGGAGGGTGTGAGGGAGGGGTTCCCCACAGACGGTGCAGGTTCCCACATGACGGGTTCCTCCAAGGCGTCGAGGCCGAAGCCGCCTGACTCCTCCCACCGTTCACTTGTGTTATAGGTGAAAGGAGAAGGAGTCTTCAAGACGAACACGCTTTTGGAGGGGTCTCAAGAGAGAAGCCATCTGCTGGGAAGCTGGAGTAGCAAGAAGCTACTCGTAGTTCCTGGCATTACTACTAGGAACAAGAAGCTACTAGTTACAAAGGGCATCGCTACTAGGAGCAAGGACGCGGGAAGCTGGAGAAAAATAGGACCTCACGAACGCTGTCGAGCAGCTCATTCTCAAGGGGGTTCCCATCATCGTCCAGCAAGGGGATGTTGGGATCCTCAGCCGAACCCCCGTGCCGGCAGGCACTTTTGGCTGAGCATCGGTCCTATTCACTGGGTGCCAAAATGACCCATTTTTCCATGAAAAAACACCCGTTGTCGTGACCAGGGGGCTGTGAGGGACCAGGTTTGGCGACGTTCCAGATCGTTTGATGTATCGTTTGATGTGGGGATGGAATCCCTATCAATACCACACCCAAAGTGGTTATGCATCACAGATAAACCGAGCCAGTGAAAATGGACAGACGCCTGTTACACCCTTCAAGCCAACTCTTCCAGGAGTCACAAAGGGGTGGTGTTTGGTCCCCAAGTGAGTGGATGTTCTGGGCACCCCTAACCTCCATGGATCGCACCCCTTTGTGAGTGCTGGTTCATTTGTCTTGGTCTCAATGAGCTTTCGAACCTTTGGTCATTTGTCATCCTCAGGGACAGGCATGAACACATGAACACGAAGGCCACTGTGTGGCCCTCTCATTACCCAGCCAATCAGAGAATGAATTGCAGCCCTGGGAGCATCACAGGCTTGCCCAGAATAGACCATATACTCAGAAGAGTCACATGTGTACAGTCTACAAGTACACTCAAACTAGACTTGTTCTATGGCTTCTGCCAAATGGGTGCCCCAAACCAGTCTGCCAAGTCACCGAAAGATATGTATTATGTTCCTCCTCCTCCAAGGGCACCTCCACATCCTCCTGTGGTGCCCATGATGAGAAGCTCTCCAGTGTCCGCTCCCAGGGTCGGGCACTGCGAGGTCGTCCCCCCTAAACCCTGACCCTCCCTGAAAATCATGAGAGGGGAGCGCTGTGAGCGGCGCGTTTTTCGATGAAAATGAGCATTTTTCAACCTTTTTCATGCGTTTTCTTGAGAATGATTGATGTGTCTGACATTGCCTGGAAGGATCTGCCTGGAAGCGCCCAGATGTTATTCAGTAAGATCGGTCAAGGAACCTACAGTGATTATGAAAAAAAAGAACCAAAATTGGAATGATAGAATGAATGACTTTACAAGAAACTTAAATGATCACTTTAAACAACATAGAACACTATATGCTGAAGAGAAAAATATAGCAAACAAGGAGAAGATAGAAGACCGCAGGGGCTTATGGAATGCCTATTCATCACCAAGTGCTTTTTACAAAACAAGTAAGACTTTATACATAAGTGGCACAGGTGGTTGTGATGGATCTTTAACAAGGGATATTATGGATGATCTGTTATTAGTACCTACTAGAAATGTTCATCACAATGAGAAATACAAACATGTTATAGAAGAATTGGAAAAGTCACCAGAAATAACCCGTTTGGTTGGGCATAACCTTGCAAGTGCTGTAATAAGATCAATCAAGAACAACCTAATACATTTGCTACAACAACCTATGCTACCCCTACAATAAAAACAAAAAGGAAAGGAACAAAAGTCCCAAAAGACTTGACTACCGCAATCCATCCGATATTGTTTAAATGTTGGATGGTTACGCTGTAACTTCTGATTTGAAAGAACCTAACCCTTTAATGAGCCACAGCTATATCAATTTTGAAGGGAACGGCCTTTGGAACATCAATCCCGGCACCAATATAAGCAATGGATTTAACCCCAATCACTCATTTAAAAAACAACATTTAAACTTAGTTAAAATATGTAATGTTATGGTGGATTACTCCAAGGCAAAATTTTACAGAATACTAAATGACAAAATGACGATGTCTATATTGGTGCTACTTGTCAGCCATTGAGTGTTAGAATGGCAGGACATAGAGGGGGCGGAATGGCAAGATAAGAAACATTACAAATTGTTATCACACAATCACCCAAACATTCAATGCTGGTGGTGGTGAAATTAATATGAATATTGTAAAATCATCTTCTAAACTGACTGGAGCATTCATTACCTTATTTAGAACTCCAAGGAGTGGTGAAGAACTGAACCGATACTTACCTGACAATTATGTATATAAGAGATGGAATTAATCCTATGATCTATGGAAGAATTAATGATACTGGTAATGCTGATACAAATGACTTACAAGGTACAAAGGTTTTCAAGATGCCACCCGTAGTTTAAGTTGGCAAATTCAATTAAGCAATTCCCAGAAATACACAGAATTCGAAGCGCAATCATTATCATAAATCTTTTACTATTTAAGAAGAGCTATACAGTACATGACAGTTTAAGTTTTTCGTATCGTCAATACAGAAAGAACAAATTCATTATTGGTATGTCATTTGAAAAAATTGCAGATGTCAATTTTACTGGTTATAATTCTAAAATGTCAGGTATTACCAATTTTCGAGTTAAAGGAGCAGAAGGAGCATTATTAGACCCTAATGAACAAATCACTGAGGGTTTCAGAGACTGTTCTGGAAATGAGAGAAAGTGGTAGTATTGTCTACTTCCAAGGAAATTGAAAATTTAAAACATCCCAGGAAATCAAAAAATCCAAAATTCCAATTTTCCAAAATTCCAATTTTCCAAAAAAAAAACAAAGAAACCAAAAAAACAAAAAAAACCAATTCTGCACAGACCATGGGGGGAAGAGGGGGTGAGGCAAAGTCCTGGCACAATTGGTTTTTTTGGTTTCTTTGGTTTTTTTGGAAAATTGGAATTTTGGAAAATTGGAATTTTGGAAAATTGGAATTTTGGAAAATTGGAATTTTGGAAATTGCCTTTGGGGGAGGGGGGGGGTTGAGGCAGAATAGTATTCTTTCAGTGGCACAAAAATCAATAGAAACGCAATACAAATATAGAAACCCAATAGAAACAAAATGAAACAATGCAAAAACGCGCCGCTCAGAGCGCTCCTTTCTGAAAATCATCACATGGGTGGCCCAGGATTTGGGGATGACCATCTGATCGACCAAGTAGGTGGTGTTTCACGCACTCCATGTCCGTTTTCAGGGAGTCCTCCGTACTCCACAGATCTCAAAGGGGAGTTCTCCAAGCACGTGACTGATCTGTGGAGATCAAAGGCCGTCAAAGGTCGTGCGCCCTGACTGGAGTCAAAGATCCTGAAAAGCTCTGACTGAAGACTTGAGTTTTGAGGTTAGGAGCATCAAACGCCGCCTGTTCCAAAGTTCATGTTCATGCCCCTTCATTGGAGTAACTCGAGCGAGGTCAAGCCTACACAGCGACTGACGATTGTCCTACCCCCCTGAGCCACTGGCTGCAACTAGCATACGCGAGTATGCCTAGTACATCCTAGTACTTGTGGATGCATGCGCGCTTCTTTTGTTCAGGTCATGTATAGGCATATTTATAATATGTACCAAGCTTGTTTGTTTCTGGAACCTGGGTCCGTCAGTACGTATCTAGCACCTCTGGTGCATGTATATGGTAGATCTGGTGTATGTCTATAGCTGAAGATCTGGTGATCTGGTGATCTGTGATCAAGCTGCTTGAAGGTCGATCAGCAGGTGTCGATCAGCCGTCAAAAGTGATTCAACCTATCCTCACCACCCAAAATTCACCCATCGTCATCAGAACCAAAAAAGTGCTCATTGTGCTGATCTTGGTCCATTTTTTGGAGGCCAAATCTACCAATGATCTCTGCATATCTCTACCCCTCAGGATGAACAAAATCTTCTCCAACAGACCTCAGGGAGTTCAATGATGTTTCTACGTCCATCCCCTTCTTCGCATCTGTGCCACATCTTGGCGCCTCCAGCTGTGCTGGGTCTTGCCTACGGCGGCAGCAAGCTCGCAAGATCCGCTGCCGCCTGACGGATGGGCGACAAGCGTGGATGGGTCGTGAACCTGACTCCCTCGACAACGTGTTCCATGGAAAATATGGGTTACCTTTTTTCCACAGAGTTCTTGCTTAGTGGTGTCCCAATTACCAAGATAAGGCTAATATTGAAGGTGATCCACTTTTCCTGGTGTGCCGGTGTGACCAATTGGCTGCCGGAGGATCGTTTCTTCGGTCACCAGGAGTTCGGGGCACGGAGCTGGGGACCCCAGGCAACACACCACACATCTGAGCATCGAGGGTTCGAGGGGACAGTCAACTCGTCTCTGGTGCATGAAAACTGCCTTTGAAGACGATCCATGAGCAAAGAGGTTCTTCTGTCGGGGTTTGGCTCTATATGAGTGTCTATACTTGATGCTTGAAGGGTAGCACCTCGAAAGCTGAATTTATGGAACGATCGAAAAAGATCCAACAGGCTCCTATCATAGATGTCTGATAGATGTCCCTGTCAATCGCGCCTGGCCCCCCAAAAGACACCACTCCACTGACCGCACACTGACCGCACACCAGCGGAATCCGATGTTCTGCCGAATCTGGGCAACACACCCAAAAAGACTCTGTCCAAAAAGGCCAGTGGGATTCACCCAAAAAGGCCAGAGCATTCACCCAGAAAGGCCAGGCGATTCGTGTTCACGGAGAAAACCATAAAAGCTCCCTTTCTAAAGCAAAGCGAGCTCCAAAGCGAGTTCGTGCCGAGTTTGTGTTTGGCAATCCGAGTTGCCGGGTCAAGTGGCCACTCTTCAGGTTCATGCCCATCTCCCGCTCCTGGCGAAAGGAGAAAATGACGGACATCGAAGAACATCGACGAAAAACCTGGTTGGACCTAGGCTAGGCCCTAGGCCTGTATCCTAGGTTATAGGTTATATCACAGGCTAGGCTAAGCCTGTTCATGTAGAAGCAGGCAGGGGTCATAGGCTAGGCCTGTATCGTTATGGGCATGTATGAGCCACTTCCCTCAGCTGGGATGGTGCCAAGTGAATTGGTGCTCTTGTCAGCTGAAGCAGGTGCTTGCACTGAGACAACAGTCAACCGACCGAACCAAAAAACCCGGGTACCCCGACCACCCGGTTCTCCGGTTCTGTCTCCATTGTTCGTTCGTGTGACCCGACTGACGTAACGGTGCGGGATCTGTCACGGTCCGTCGCGTCGAAAGGATCAACCAGGTCGCTGCAGCTCCCCGGGCCTTTTTGCGCTTTGAGCTATAGCCATCTTTTCTGCGTGAAGGGAGTTGTTAAAAAGCGGCCACTTAGCAAATATATGTTCCAACATTTTCCAACAGGCTGCCAGGGTATCCAGTCATTACGTCATTCTTTGTGACTTTGACGCTGTCTGGAGTCTAGAGGGCACGTAATACAATGTATAATGAACAAACCAAATCGGTCCTCCACTTCCCCAAGTGGTCCAAGCGCTGAAGATGGGATTCCCAAAACCCAAAGCCGGCTCACGAAAACCCCTGTCTACCCTGGCTCTCACTTCCATCTGGTCCCCGGCTCAAAAACGACCACAGCGGAACCGCAGGCCTTGGCCATTCGAGCCGCCTCGCGTTTCTTCTCTTCCTCCTCTCGACGCCTCTTCTCCTCGGGATCCAAGTCCTGTGGCTCGCGGAGCGACCGACGGTTGTGGCCCGACGGCACGCGACCAGACCTCCGTCTCAAAGGGTAGGGGACCCGGTCGACCGATTTTGAGGGCGATTCTGAGGGTGAGACATGGAGCGACTGGTGCTGAACCTAGGTGGAAATGAGGGAATGAGCCCGCCACATGAGATTCCTTTGCCTTCTGGCCACCCTCATTCCCTACTTTCGTCGCACAAGTCAGCATGGAGCGATCTCGCGATCTCCTTGGTGATCTCCAAGGATGCGCCACACAAAAAGGCTCAATCTTCGAGGTACCAAACCGTCCGACCATCCAGTCCCCCTCGCACCCCAGCCATCCGCCTCTTCCCGGAAGTTTTCCACCTGAAAACGGCCAAGGCAAGAAGGCTTGACCACCCAATCAGTTGGGTGATGCAAGTGTTGGGTGTTCAAAAGAAAGGGTCCGGTCAAACGGATTAAATACCACATCCGACGACGGCCATGGCAGTTCACAGACACCATATCCGTCGTTTCAAAAAGAACGGCGCCTACAGTTTGCGGGAAGAGCAAGCCTGCGGTTGGAGAAGCCATCAGTATGGATGAGTCCAAAAAGAACCAGCAACTGTCCAGACCCAAGTGGTGTGCAAATCAATCCTCACTTTCATGGCCAACATCATAGGAACAGTTTCAAGGACAAAAAACCTAGCTGTGTCATCAATGACCCAACATGAAAATCCCTTCAGGCGAGGAGTTCCAAAGGGTTTTAGACCCTATAAGCAAGCGGTTACTGAGTATACAACTATATACCCTCCAAGTGTGGCACCACGCTCAAGGACTGATCTTCCACCAGACCCCCGACTTAATGAAAGCTAGCCTGCAGATCGCTGGTACCCAGAACTGGACAGGAACTCTGAAGTGTTGGACTGTGATCCAAATGAGCACATCTCTAACAATGAGGGTCTTCTTCAAAAAATCCAACATCTCTTGGAATGACGGGAGGAAAAAAAACTTTTAAAAGAAGAAATTGAAGAACTTCATCCTCAAATCGGATCTGAACCCTCTCCCCTCATCTCCCCTCTCCTCTTTCCGCCTTGAATTTCTCGAGCCAGGTCTTTGGCGCGTTGTCCGCCTCTTCGTCATAGCCTCGGCACAGCCAGCCGTGGAGAAAAAGCCACGGAGTTCGGCTGAAAGGATCTGAAGAGGCTGGAGGATGTCGCTGGGTGGAAGACCGGAGCTTTTTCGGAAGGGAGGCGTCGAAACAGAGTCGAGGAGGCGTCCGTCAAGCCGTCGCCGAAGCAATCCTGCACGAAGCGTCAGAAACGGTCAGCGTCGGACACATGGCACGATCGAAGTTGTGAAAGGGCTCACCTTGACACAAGAGACGTCACAAACAAAGGGTGTCCTGGCTGGACTACCCCACACGACCTATAGGCTTCCATTGTTGGGCACCCCTTGGAGGGTCCTGGGATATATCTATATACAAAAACCTAGAACCTGAGTGACTCGACCCCTGTTTGGGAGCAAAAACAGGGTCTTTTCCTATGAAAGCAAAGGTCATGTCTGGGTTCTAGGTGTATTATTCGACCAAATAGAGCTTAAAGATGCTTAAAGCACAGAAGCGAGGAGAGGATCATCCCCTATCTCTCTTCCAATGATTCCGTCCGCTCAGGTCCAACGTCGGGTGCAATAGTAGCCCATGCCACTCAACAGCGCGCCATCACCCGGTGGTCGATCATGACAAGATCTGTTCACCATCTCAACAAAATCGAGAAGCACCATTGAATTCCCTATATATACTATATAGAAACAGGATTCTAAACTTCCGACCCTCGCGCACCCTTCGGACAGTCCGTCGCCGAACGAAGTCTCACCCATGGCCCATGCACCATGGGTCTGGAGCTTTCGTCTCGGTTCGGTGGGTTTCCGTTGCTGGTGTGGTTTGGCAAGCTGGTGTGCACCACTTGCACAACATGCAAGCAAAATAGAACTACACTATTCTAATAGAAACTATAGTTTATACTATGCAAGCAAAACTTGTAGAAACTTATACATAGTTTCTTTTGAAACTATATGCATACCCTAGCCTGTCTAAAAACCATTTGAAGGAAGGTTGACATCCGTCGTCAACTAAGGGTTGTTCGCTTGGTCAGGCTGTACAATTGGACGGCGACGAAAAACCTGGTCGAGGTGTTCATGTGGCAGTCACCCGGGTTGCGCGTTTCACCCTGGTAGCTCGTCGGTTCTGTTCAGTTTCACTGGTACCGTCCCAATGCCATCAGTTGGGGGGCACGGGCACGTCTCCCTTCGGCGACCTTACATGCCGGTCGTTCGGACGTGGGCGGTCATTCCGGGTGAGGCCACCCAAAAATAGAACAGGCCTTCTGTAGGAAAACAAGAGATCTTCAACGACCTTATCACTATGCTTTCCTATGCAAGAAGTCTTGGACCTTATCCTATGCACATTCTTCCCATGGTCTAAACATGCCTAAGCTACTTAATTATCTAATTGTCTAACCTAGAGAACCTGCTTTTTGACCCTTGTTTGGGGCTCTGTCCAACCTGCCCCAAAAAAGCAGGAACCCTGTGGCACTGCATCTCCCCGATTGCTTCGTTCCGGTGCCCAGATGCGCTTTGGACAAAGTTTCGACCGCAAATTCTCGATGGTCAGTACCTGGGTTGGACGTGACGAGAATCGGATCCCTTTGGAACCTACGTGTGGAGTGGATTCACGTTTGTGTTGCCAGGACAACGTGGTTGACTCTGCTTACTTGAGGAGTCTGGAGTGGATTAAAATGGAGGGTTGAAGCTGGAAGAATGCAAGTAGGTGCAAATTCACGCTGCCTTCCTTTTTCAACCACATCCGGTCGAGAACCCAGTCCGAATTTGGTCTGGCTAGCCAGTTGATCACTCCCAAGCCATTTTGACACCCAGCAAACCCACCCAGCAGAACCTGAACATACCCTATAGAAGTCAGAGCCTGAAAGTTGTTGTGTGTCTTTTCTTTTTTGATTCCGCAGTTGGAACGAGCATCAACCTCTGGGTTCGACGTTTCTCTGATTCCCGTCCCTTGTCAAGAAAAGCCTCGACCACTCAAACCTTCTGACCAGCAGTTCCGTCCAGGTGCAAACCATGGAACCCTTGGGCTGCCAGTCACATCCACGGCTGGATGCGACTCCATACCAGGTCCGACATGTGACTCCTTATATGTTTCAAGTCATTTTTCAGCCACGGTATGTACGTCCCAACAGTTCCCTTCCCAGGTTCTGCCAAAAGACTCCGATGTCTGCCAAATAACAGATCGTGACCTGGCAAGAAAGCGAGCGTACGGGCACTCAGATCGAAACTTCGAACGAGCTTCTCAAAGTAGACCACACACAAACCACCACCGCTTTGTGACCCGTTCGTGGGGGCGGGTGTTCGTGGCCGAGCACTGGTTTGGGTGTCTGGGGTCAGGTCACGAGAGGAAGAAGCTTCCGTCTGCTCCGGGAGCTGAGAAAAGACCCCCTCTTTGTGTGAAAGCTGTCAACAAGTGGGAAAGAAAGAGAAAGAGAGAAAAAGAAAGAGAGAAAAAGAAAGAGAGAGAGAGAGAGAGAGAGAAAGAGAGAGCCTTCGATGAAGAGCACTCTGGCACACCACACTGGTACAGGGATGAGACCCACCTCCTCGGAGGCTCCTGGCCTACCTCCTCGAAGGCTTTTGTTAGACCCCCCATACCCACCCCAACCATCTTCTGCGAAGGTCATGGGAACCAGGGAGAGTGGCTTGTTCCATCAGCTGTTCGTTGGTCAAGTTGGCGTGTATCACCAACAGGTCTTCGCCTGAACCGCCAGTCACAAAATAAAAGTACTGGGATACCAATACCAACGAGTGTGAAAAAGGTGCAAATCTCGAAGAGCAAGACCTTGAAGATGCGAAAAGGCTTGGAGTGAGGAATCTTCCGAACTCGCTCATGCGATCCTGGAGTGAGGACATGAATAATCTTCAAGAACCAACTACCAGCTTCTTCAAAGTGACCTTTTGAAGGTTTGAAGGTTCCTAAGTGACCCTTAGGAGGCTTAAGTGACCTCAAACCAGGTTATCAAAAGGTCACTTTGAAGAAGCTGAGGTACCTTATCAACCCTCATGCCATGTACAACGGTTATCAAAAGGTAATGTAGAACCACAATATGGCCGTTGTACATGGCACGAGGGGACCTTGGCTGATCAAAGGAACTGAATCGACGACCGTTCTCCGTTCTCAGGTCAACCTAGCAGGGTGAGTTCCGGGCAACCCGGGTATCATGACCCACCGCCATATCAAAAAGGTCTCTGTGAAGAACCCGGCCAAGTGCGCTAGGATTCCCATCTGTCGATCCGTTCATATCAAGCTCTCTACGGGACTGGCAGCCAGCAGTGAACAGCCACAGCATGGTGCTCAAAAAAAAAGAGAATCTCAGCAACGGCCCAGTTATCCTGGTGGAAACACCGTTTGAAGGGAAAACCCTTGTAATCCCAATATAAACCCTCCCTTCAAACTGCATGATTACTATATCTAAAGGTAGAGATGGTTGTAAAGCCGGTTCGCCGGTTCGCCGTTGGATCCGAGCAACAAAGATCGGGAAGTAACTGAAGGTGACCATACCTTCCCACAGCTCAATCCTCAGTACTAGCCAGCTGCAGGGCTTCCAAGTCTGGGCCACTGCCCAGGCTCAGGGATGAGCCTCTCTAAATCGAGCAAGTTCCAAGGATTCGCTCCAAGAGTCTCGGGGCAGGTGCGATTTCGGAGGCTCCCTGCAAAAGGGACAGGACTCTTGGCACCAAAAGCGACACCGAGGAGGTCTTTCGGGCTTCGCGGTGGATTTTGGGGGGGGGTGCGCGATCAGGGCTCACGGAGGCATCGCGTGCTCGATCGGGCGTCGCGACCCCGAAACTAAGACCACTCCTCGTCGCTCCGCTAAACCACCGGAAGCACGCCGTCCGCGCGTCCGCGGTCCGTGAAGGCAATCGAGTTGGGGAGAAAGACGCCGCGAGATTGAGGCAAAGGCAAAAAGCTTACTTGAGTTTGAAGTTGTTCACCATCCGTGAGGTAATCTTTTGTTCTTCAAACTTCACTTGAGGCAAAGGCTCGTCATTTCACCCCAAGAGTTGGGTGCGATTCGAAAACTGCGACCTCCCAGATTCGGGTCATTGGGTGCTTTGGGCAGCTTCGACGCAGATTCGGGCATGGTCGAAATAGACGGTGAAACCCGAAATCAGAAACCCCGTGTTCCAACTTGCTCAGTATCATATGAAACTTTAAAGAGTTTAATCAAATTGTCCACTTGCTCGTGTTCAGTGGGGTGTCCCCAATTCCTCCAAACAGCTCTTGCAGATTGGACCTGATCCTCTTAGGGTGGATCCTTTTTCACTTGGCACACGATCCCAAGCGCCGAAGCCGCGGTTCTTCTCATGGTGACCCTTCAACGCAAAAACATCATACTGGTGATGACATGCTCCAGATTGGCTAAATGTTATGATGCTCCAGCATTGCCAAAATGTTCTTGAATAACAAGTCGCTTACAGGCTTACAGTAACTGTCAATGTCAATTCCTGACGAATCCTGTATATGGAAAGCGCCTGGGTGTATACCATAACAACACCAATCTGGTGCTCCCATGCTCCACCGGTGATGCTGTCACTCCACCGGTCCACCGGTACCAAGTGGCTCATCGATGGAACTGACCACGCAAATGAAGAGCAGCCAGACGTACCTGACCAACAAGCGGCTTCTAAAGGTCTCCCCGTCAACTGCTCCGTTCACGGCGGATCTTTCGCTGGGGAATGGCAGAGCTTCGAGCCCGCCAGCGGTCCGACGGTCTAAGCATCCCAGGTCCAAAAGCTCCAAGGATCTCAACTCAACAGCTACCAATCGATCCGAGTGCACTGTTCTTGGGTCTCGGATCCAGTCGGAGCTCCGATCCTGTTCCACCCATTTGGCCACCACGTCCGACGGTGAACGGCTCGTTCCAAGAGGGTTCCACACCCCGCTTCGTCCAAGCGAGGGATGAAGCGAAACGGAGCTGTTCGGCGAACCATCCATGGGACTACCTGGAGTCGACCCGTTCGTAGCTGAGAAAATGGTGGCACCATCCAGTACCTGTTTTTATCGGGTCCAGGTATACTAATTGGTTCAGGTCATGTTCCATTGGTCCAGATATACTAATTATACCAATTATCCATTGGTCCAGGGTCCATTGGGTCATGTGTTTCAATGCTATGTGCATCAAGAAAGAATGGAACGTTGGCCAATCCGGTAAACGTGATCTTAGGATGTGTCAAGGGGCCCAGGGGCTGGTCAATACTCCAGTCCCATGAACAGCGCTACAAACCGCCATGGTGCTTCTGTTCCACGCATGGTGCTGACTCTCGAAGTGTCGCACTCGGATCGCCCGGACTATGCTGACTTCCCGCTTTTTTCTGGACGTGGGGTGCTTTAAAGAAGCCACTGAGAAAAGCAGTCCTGAGACCAACAACTGACTCCCAAGTGCCATCCAAAGTCATACACCAGCCTTTGTCTTTTCATGCCTCCCAGAAATGGGGTCTTAAAAAAAAAAAGAAAAAACACCCCTCCCAGACATGTATGGAGAAGACAAATCCATCAATATGCTCTTATAGTGGCTCCTGGCATCGCTACTAGGAGCAAGTACGCTACTAGTGGCTTCTGGCCTTACTACTAAAGGAGAGACTCCATCCCTTCGGGTCTTCAGGATCTCCAGAACATCAACTTCAGGTGGTGTGTGTCAGGAGCGGCGGCCCAGGTCGCTTGGGGTCTCCATCATTCCCCTGCAGGGAGCTTGCGTTCACCACTAGCTACCCATCCACCCCCCTCAAGAATCTGTCAACCGTCCAATGCACCCGCTCATAGATGTAATATATGTATACCCTAGGCGTCCATCCATCATTCATTTAATAGCCTTTCCCGAACCGACTAAGGATTTTACACCACAAAAAAACGCGGGTCAATCCTTTTTTGTCGTCTCTAAGTCGGTATATTTATGTGTGTCCGTGAAGATATGTGGCGTATGGTCTCATCTGTCCACCGAGTGGCGCGAAGATCGAGAAGAACGCGGTGATGGCATAGACCCCGCGCTGCTTGATCTGTCGACTTTCGCCTGACACAGCGCGAAGACCAGGGGTTGGATGATCAAGAAAACCACCTGCTTTTGAAGCGAAGACCCCTCAGGTGGCTGATCCTCTCAACCAAGAGAGGGTTTTTGGAGACCTGAACGACCCTGGGAGGCGGTACATCTATGGGATGGGCGGCTACTATAGGCTGTGAAAAACCTGTCTCAAGGATTGGCATGGATCCCAACCGCTGTGAAAGACCAAAGAACTATGTCCAAAGACCTAACATGCCGTGGGTTAACTGGGATCCGCCTAGAGAGAACACGTGAACGTTGTGAGCCCCGCACTTGGCTAGCTGGAACTTGCCAGGCTAGTTGTCGGAAGAATTACAGGAGGTGGGTCAAAACAACCCGACTTCACAGGTGGGCACCCTGGTGACCAGTTCGGTGCCCAGGTTCACCACCTGAGTTAGTATCCCAAAACAGCCTGGCCAGGAGGGTCCTGGTATAGGGTTAAAACCAGTGTTGATCTACCTGGGCTACCTGGCGTTGGACGTTGCAGTGCACCAACCATCGTCCGAAGCTGGACGGACGGACAAAACCCCACACCTCTTCGCATCGGCTCACAGCCGATGGAGTCCCAGACGAAATCTCAGTCAAACCCAAAAGTAGGAAAGTGTTGGGAAAACATCGTGTCTGACATTCTTTGCACAGACAGGGGGTCATCATCGTGCTAGTGTTTCACTCCCTAACTTTAGGCAGGTCTTGTTGGGCGTGTGAATGTCTTAAAGGTACCTCGAAGAGTCATCCTTTGAACGAATTAGAACCGCTACGAACATCGAGAACGCATGCCCATCGCGCCAGCATCGCGCAAGCGCCAACGCACGCAGAATGCAGAACGAGTCTTTTGCTCAATCCATCGTGTCCATAAGATCGCTCATCTCAGCCTTTCGCATGTCCTGGCTGAGACCAAGATCAAGGGAAAGCCAAGAGTTCAAAAGTCTTGCCAAGCAAACCCTCCTTTGAGGCCTTTGTTTCCTGTCCTGCGTATTCAAGCCAAGTCTACGCACCACTCGCGAATCTCTCCTCTAGCAGCTCCGCGTACTGTGGAGACTCCTCGCCCAAAACGACCTCCGTTCGCTCCAGCGTTCGCTCTGCGTCGTTTCAGGCTGAGTAGTGACTACTGCGACGGAAGAGATCTACGGTGAGAATCTGCAGCTTGGAAAAGAGCTGTTAAGTAAGACTGTGTAAGACTGGTGGCACTGAGGTAAGCTCTGACCAAATTGCAAGTTGTTTGTTGCATCCGGACGAAGAAAAGACCTGCGAGTTGAGCACTTGCACTTGGCGCAGACCCCGATTCCAGGTGACTCCCAAAGTAGACCGGTCTGTGGCAAAACACCCTCGATCTCCGGGGATCATCATGCAAAGCCACCTTTTGCCTGAGATCCTTCCCAGACGCTCATGAAAGCTCCTAAGTAGGGACCGTACCCTGATATCGAGGGGTCCAGACCCGAACCAATCCCTATGGCTTTGAGGGACCAGTCGGCCTGTTTGCATCGAGGTTGGTGTTGAACCCATACCAGCATCCGATTTCCAGACCTGCAATCGGACGTCACCCGGCGCGGCCTGCTCATAGGCGTTCATGGCCTCTGCAAAGAGCTCGCGCGCGTCTGTCCGGTGTCCTGAAGATTGGAAGATGGGGAAAACGATGTCAGCCAGCGGTTTGCCATGGCGAGTCTTTTGGGTGACGAATTCCTTGTTCAGCTGGGAAAGGAATTTGGGCGGACAAACCGAGCCGTCGCTCCCTCACGCTAGATGAGGTCCAGAACAGTGAGATTTTGGCAACCTTGGTTGACCTGCCTGAAAGTCGTTCGCTGCCTGGTGGATTAGGGTTCCGGGTTTTGACTCATCCAATCATCTTCCTATTTTCTCGACTTAAATCAAGGCTTTCGGAAGTTCCACAGGGGGCCAAGCTGTAGTTCCACAGCACGTTCCGCAGCACTCAACAGGCATCACAGCACCGAACCTGCCGTCGGCGGACCTAGCGGACCTAGCGTGGCAAACTGAGATGTTGCTACTTTTCATGGAACCACTTCAACCAGAGCTTTTCAATCCAAAAGTATGGGCGGAAGGTTTCACCTCGGTCGGTCTCTCAGTCCTAAAAACCCACCGGAGCGAGGCGCAGCAACGGCGGTCCTTGCTTCAGGTGGCACAGGCCCAGGTTATGAAGCAAAACGGCATAATTCCTGGGCGGCTGGCGCTGGACTTGGGTGGGCCCCGCCCGCTTTTTGGGGGTTGGTTTTTGCGGTCCCCCGGGGAGGGTGTTGGACGACGACGACGACGACGACGACGACGAGTAGCTGTTTAAATAGCTGCCTAACTTGATGGATCTCGATGGTAGTCTCTCGAGGCACAAGCGCTTGCAGCCCACCTTCCATCCTCCAGTGTAATGAAAAAACTCGTGGACAGGACTTAAGCCATGGCACATGGGGATAATGCAGGAGTGGATGCATCTGTTCAGCTCACTGTCCATCACATCAAGAGAGCTAGAGTCTAGGCCTAATCAGCATGAGCTAGGACTGTCAACGTGGGTGAAACCAGCGGGTGAAGCGCGACCTTGCTCTATGGGTCGTTCTGGCCGCGTCCGCGGCCCCTCCCTCGGCCCTTTCCATCTTTGCCCTTTCCCTCACCTTTGTTCCTTTTCCTCGTTTGCGTTCCAATTCCTCGGGGGGCTTTGCCCACGAAAAGGTTCGGGATCTCGGCAGGCGTGTTTTGACCAGGCGATTTATGAACTGTTCAAGGGGTCCCTGCAAACAATTCTGGATACGAAGTGCGTTCTCTCCGAAGGTCAGGCCTATGCCACTGTCCCGTGGTAGCATCCCAAGTATTTCTTGACCGATTTGGTAAAATAAATCTCACTGCCGTTTCTACCGTCCCTACCAGCAGCCACCAATTCGCAATGACATCCAGGGGTATGGTCTTGGTCTCTTCGTTTATCTGATGCCAGTCCGCCGGCAATTGTGGCGGCAAGGGGAACGGTAACTTGATGAGTTCACTCAACTCCTGCAGGACAGCCTTGCTGGCGTCTTTTGCTAATGTGCTGAATTGGAGAGATTGCGTTGCAGCCACGTACAATGCCTCAACTTGGGTGCTGTGCATGACTAGAAGCGTTGCTTTTTCGGCGTTTCAGGGAGGTGATTTCTATTCCTTGCTGCTCTTGTTCTTTTTCAATGGCGTCTAGTCGTCGCTCTAAACTCTGTATTTTCAGCGGCCGCCATTTCGGCGGGCGGGGTCACCGCGAAAGTGATCTGTGCTTTAAGCCAAAGTGATGCGGATACATTGATATGAGAGCTGCTGGATTTGTCGCGGAAAAAGAAGGGATCAACACCAAGCAAACCGAAAGAAAAAAGGAAGAAGGATGAGACCCTGTTGACTGATTGGAGATCTCGTCTTGCCCGGGACATGCCCAGGCGCGTCCCCCAAGCGCGTGAACGGAACTTGTTCCGAACACTACTACCGGGTCGTGCCCGGTATGCTGGGGAGCGGGCGATAAGAAGAAAAACAACCCTCTAGAAATGGGGCTGAACCGCGGCAGCGAGCTTCGTGGTTCTTCCGAGCTTGTACGGAGCCTAGAAGGGTGTTACAGGTTTGGCAGCCCCGGGTCCACGGCACGCTGCTTCGTGGCGGGCGACGTTTGGGGCAGCCATTTGTTGGTGACAATGTCGGCAGGCGACGAGTGGGTGTGGTTTGGGACCACGTTTGGGCGCCGGTCGCACTGGGCAGATATGTTGACGACGCTCCTTCTCGTTGCACCAACTCTGGTGGCAGTGTTCGCACTCATAAGGTCGCCACAGTGATAACTTCGGCCTGATCAACCGCGCATTCGGCCTCGAAGTGGTAAGTGAGTTGGTTAGATTTACCGGGAATTGGCCTCTGGTGGGATCGCGGCGTAGAAAACCAACACGAGGGCGGGGAGTGCGGCGAATGTGAAATTGGACTTTTTGTGGGGCTCCCATGGAGAGTCGCCATCGATTGAGCGTGGCAACTTGCATGTTGAGGATCCACACGGGCAACCGGGAATTCGGCTAACGCCAGCGCGCGCCAGGCCTGCCTATCCTGAGCCTGGCGGAACCCGTCTATTGAGGACACATTGGCTTGGGCTGGCACATATTTCAACCATTGTCCTTGCCGATACGGGGGACATCGACGAGTGGGGTGGTCTTTCCAGAACCCAATATTGGCTTGTTTAGGGGGTCGACTCACCGGCATACGAGCTACATGGCCCAGCAGAACAAACTTTGATGGGCTATGGTAGTTTTGAACGGTTCCCACTGAGCCAATTCCGTGAGCGTTTCACTGTGGACATGCTGGTGAGCACGTTTCCATGCGCACTCCGAGACAGCGCTCCACTGCGTAGTTGATTACCCGTTGCATTTGGTAGAGTTGTTCTCGATTCCATCCACGGGGTCGGCCGAAGCAGGTGAGGGTGGGCATAACGACTGCCTTCATGATCTCAATTCGCAGACTATGCGGGAGTGCGCTGCGATGCCTAGACCCAAAATGACAAGCCCTTGCTGCTTGCGCAAGTTTGAAATAGGCTCGCGCCCGTTTTGCGGCCGTGCCTGCGGTGGCTTGTATAGGAGGCCTCCCACGTGTCGAACTGTATCGAATTCGCCTTTGTGACGAACATCATAGGGAGCGCGTCCCGCGGTCTGCAGGCGAAGGCCTTCCGTCTTGTCCGGGTGGACTTTTTCGCGCCAATCAATATATATATTTGCTTTAACAACCTTTCTGCGCCAGCTATTTCATCGACGTGGCCCATGAGTGCTGTGTCGTCGGCGAAGCCGATATCGCCCAGTGCTACTTCCGTACTCCGACTGTCCATGTTGTTGTGCGAGTTGGGCTCTCCAATGTCGGAAGTCCTCAAGTACACAGTGATGATACACATTGAACAGCGGAGGACTGCTGGGGCATCCCTCTCGAAGACCCTTGTCAGCTACATATTCAGTGGACATGCCGGAGCGCTTTACAAACTTGGATAAACTTGG